TTTTGATGCATTTTCGGCCTTAAAATGGCCGCTATTCGGCTATCGTTAATCGGATCATGAAAAAAATGCATGTGCATATGTCCCATATAATGTGTGATGTATGAGTGAAGTTTGAACTTAATCGGTCCATGCATGTTCGAGATACAGGTGATCACGGACGCACGGATGCACGGACGCACGGACGCACGGACGCACACAGGGCAAACCATAAGTCCCCGTTTTCGGACTACGTCCGAACGGGGACTAAAAAAGTGCAGAAAAATTTGGGTGAGAAAGTCTGGTGGTGAGAAAATTAATTTATATCTATTATAAAATACTAGCATATTTTCAGTATTAAATTAAAACAGCCAAAATCTGAATAATTTTTTTTTCAATTTGAAAGACACTAAAGTTATGACAAGACTTTTGTTAGGAGATAGAGTTGATGGTAGTATGTACAGCCATGTTTCTGTGTATGTCATATACAAATGTATTCTCCAAATAAACTCAAAATATCTATGCCAATTTTTCCAGTATCGGTATGTCCAGTACTCAATCAATTTAAACAAGTGATGTGTATTTCCTATGTCAGTGACTCTAAAACTGTACTGTGATAGAAGTGCAATGCACTCTTATGTCAATATCCTGTTGTTAAATCATATACCATATCACAGACAAATTCTCAATAGATAGAGGTGTGCACATGGTTAGTCAGAAGATAGAAAGTCCCTGTTTAAAAACTTTATCTAAATAAGAAATAGCAGTTCTAGTCTGTAGAGATAGACTTATAGTCTATTTTTTATTGATTATTTAAGATTATTTTGTAATTTACAGGGAATTTTCAATGAAAATTGGACAGTTTTGTAAAGATTTTACCTGTCAAATGAGAATTTGTGTCTGTATAAAATGATAGGTAGACTGGTGGCTGGTTAAAAACCACGGCATGCATTTAACAGCTGAATAGTAATAAATTTTAAGTAAATATCTCTTTTTGGTTTATTGTTGTTCCAATCAAAAATAATTCAACAAATGATTATCAGAAAATTCATTATTTTATTTCATTTTTATTTATTACACGGATCAGCAGACAAGGCACCCAATTACAGATCTAGGATGAGCATAATTTTACATCATTTTCAGAAATCATGTCTGTCTGTGATTTCAGTAAGTCACAGACATCCCGCAATAGTCCGCTCCTCAATCTGACGAGGATACTGTGATTTTTTTATGAGCACTGAGGATAGAAACAGCCCACGGTACCAACAGCTTGACAGCTTGGGTGATATTCCCAACCAAATACTGTAGAATACATTATATTAGCTAGAATTAATTTTTGCTGAAAAGACTTTTTTGGGTGTTTTGTATGGAATTTATTTACACTGATGTTTAATGTAAAATAAAGAAAAAAGGTATATTTGCTGGATTTTATTTTCACTGAATCATTCCTTCGACGAAAATAGTGAATATTAATTCCAAGTGAAAATAAAGTATTCTACAGTAACAAAATTACAGTATAAATTGTAATAAAGAAGTATCATATCGAAAACTCAGAAGATCACGATTTAAATTACAAATCTATTTTCAAGTGTATGCTAACGTCTATAAAAAGTCCACAGTGTAATCAATAATAAGCCAGCTTTACAAATCCAAAGAAAAGTTTCCTGAATAGACATGACAATGAATCACAAAGAAATATCCAATACACACTATAGCAATGAAGTAGATCAGATATTGTTGTTAGGAATGGCCGTGAAGTTTTAATGCAATGAGTTATTGCTCTACATAGTCTACAGCATTGTATAGTCTTCATTAATTGTTAATCTAGCTCGCTACTGACGAAAAAAAAACAGAAAACCCCAGCAGCTCCAGTACCTAACTAGGACAACATCGGCAACTGAGCTTAGTCCCCACCCTATTAGACATTGTCATAGACTCGCAATTCACTGATGGAAGCAAAAATGCATCATACAACAAGATACTTACATTTAATAAGTTTCACAACTTCTATATGATTGGACTGCGTGACCAATGTACCGTTTACCTGAAGAAGAAGAAAAACAGACAAGAGAGGTCATGTAAGGTGAAAAGTCAAAGATCAAGTAATTAGCATGATTCATGCAGGACATCCAGTATTTTCAAGGTTCGCATTAAATAGGATGCTGCAAAAAATAACAAACTTTTATTTTACTCTTAATCAGAGTCAATGAACATTGCATTTATCAGAGATTGTACACATGGTATGAAATAAAATTCGAAGACTTTTTATCATTTTCAGGACTATTTCATCACAACTTTGGTCATTTTTGGAGGGTTTGAAAAACACTTTGTGCTGATCATTTAAACTGTCAATTCCTTTGCATTTTAATGGTGTTTTGGAAAGAAAATTATGAAACAGTAATGGCCATTTTTGCTTGATTATCTTTTTCCAGGACATTTCACAACTTAAAGCGAGGGAGTCATCACCCGTGCCTGTGTCAGATGGCCATAGCATGTTATTGTTTACAAACACGCGTCTACCCATGAACCTTTGTGTTTTTAGCGTGTGTTGTTATCGTCGCTTAGGACTCAATTCCCACATGTGCGCAGGTGACTACCCTTCTGCTTTAAGGAAGTTTTTCCAGGACACCGTTTAAATTCATGAATGATACAAACTCTAATCTACTACATGTATAAACAAAAATACAGGTACATGATTGTTTTCAGTATTTACACAAATTTTATCGGGTTTACAAGATAACGAAAACATGCAGCTTGACAAGAATGAGATATTGTAATGCTAGCCAAAGAGGTCAACACAGGCTAGGTTGAATGAGTTATGACATTTGTTGATAACAGAGGAACAAACAATACAGGGATTAATTAAAATACAAAATGTATACAGCGAGTATAATTAATTAATAATTTATTTTGATATTTAAAAAAATAAATAATATTATAATACAAAATTTTTACACATGACAAGAAACACTGGAATGCCATGTATGCAGTAATCAGGATGCATCACATAAAAAAATAACATTATTGTATTATCAGTTATCGGTTATTTACCTAGGGTGATTAATCATCAGCGAATCACACCAACGTAATCAACTATTTGGATTATACTATATCACCAAAAACATCATTTCAGTGTCTTGCATGTGATTCATTTACAGTGATTTCGATGCAGTGAATTCATAATAATTTTGAAAAATACTTGGATGTGTTGAACTTGAAACAACGAATTTCAAATGAAAATTCAGAACTAGTAATCACAATTTACACCAATTATGTACGACTCTTTTGATACCTTACGATCACCAAAGAAATTACCTAGCATACAAACGTCACAGTTGTGTACTCGTCTGTGCAACAGTCAAAGTTGCCATCTTTGTTTTTATGAGACCCATATCTCGCGCATGCGTGGCGCGAAGACTACCATCCTTTAACTGATAGCAACATTGTATTTTGAAAGATGCTATGAAGTTATTATTATTATTAATACTCACTGGATTTTATTTTAGGAGGAAAACTGAATTCTAAGTACCAGTAACCTCTACACTCAAGACATGATTGTTTATCATGTGTTTATCTCTTCACACCCCTCTGACAGATATCAGTTTGTTTGCTCATTTCCTCTCTGATACCGGCAAACCACGATTACTTGGAAACTTGAAGTGGAAGTAGCTAAAGGGGACATGTGTTTTTTATTACTCAATGATGACATATCCACTTGCATGATGACATGTTCACAGGCCATGCTCCAAAACCACATCTTGAATTTTCAAGGTATGATCCTGCATACTGCCTCAGCATCACAGGTTTATTAAGTTAATTCTGAATGAATACGAAACCATGTATATGGACAATGTCAACTCAGAAATAGACGATGACTGGAATTCACCTCTTGAATTTTCAAGGTATGATCCTGCATACTGCCTCCGCATCACAGGTTTATTAAGATAATTCTGAATGAATATGAAACCATGTACATGTACATGTACTAGTATATGGACAATGTCAACTCAGAGATAGACGATGACTGGAATTCACTTTT